CACAAATATGCAAATAATCATAAAATCATATGAGTAGAAACCTCATTTAATAAATATCCATATTAAAAGTGTGCTATATTACTATGTTTATATCATTTAAATTTAATTATATATCATATACAATATATAAGATTGATTATTTTGATTTATTTACCCTAATTGTGAATAAACAAGAGTAATAGTTAAATTTATATGCATAAGCCAATTTGTTACATAATAGTAATTGATTTCTTAGTTATTTAATATATATATATATATATATATATTATTTTATTATTTATAATATGCAGAAAAATATAAAATAAATAATAAATATAAAATACTTATTGTGCATAAAGTGCAGATCTTAACCTAAGTATTTATCTGTTTAATTATTTTAAAACTTAAATATTTTCTAAATTTCAGGTCAAAACAAACAAACGAAATGAGAATAAAATTCAAAATAAATATTTATACCGAGTANTCAGGTCAAAACAAACAAACGAAATGAGAATAAAATTCAAAATAAATATTTATACCGAGTAATAACCAAAATATAAAAAAAAACATAGCAAGAGAAAAATGGAAGATAAATAGGATTGACACGTGAACGTAAACTTCTCATAACTGGAAGATAAATAGGATTGACACGTGAACGTAAACTTCTCATAACCATAATTAATATTTAAATTGTTAAATCATGATATAAAACTGAGTTAATTTTTAATTTGTTAACTTTTAATTTTTTAAAATTTTTTAAATCATTATGGCTATGTTAAATCATGACAATAATTAATTTTAAATTGTTTATTTGTATTCAAAAAACTTAAAATATTGCTTTTAAAAATAATTTTAAATTTAACATAATTTTTTAGAAAATTATTTTTTAAAAATATCGTTTTTAAAAAATATAATTTTCTAATATTATTAGACAAATAAATAAATTATATTAAATTAGTTTAGAAACTTTATATATTTTAATTGCAAATATTTTACCAATTGCTTCTTTAAAAACATTAGGGAACTTGCTATACTCTACCAATCAAGCCCAGTTACACTCCATTTATTTTCCATCACTCGAACACTGAAAAGTAAAAAGATATATGAAATCAGATCCATTAAATTCTAAGATTTGATTTACATTTCTAATTAAAGTTGTTTTTGATCATACGTATAGATAATTATATAAAAATTCCAAAATTCTAAAATTTCAAATACATACAAAAACAATCATATGTAAATTTTAAATTTATGAATATTAAAATTTTATATTTTAATTACATATATTCACCCTGCGCAAGGCGCAGGTCTTATCCTAGTATTTATTATTGTCTATACAGAAAAAAATAAAAGAACTCTATAGTAAGGACATACAATTCCTTAATTTAACCAATACTTTGTAATTAAAACAGAAAAAATATAGTTTTATATGTAAAAGTACATGTAAATGTTTATAGAAGAATAATTATTGATTGGTAGTACAAAAAAATAAAAAAGGAATTCCATAGTAAGTTCATGCAATCTCTTAACTTAACCAATATGTCGTAATTAAAACAGAAATCAATGTATTTTTTATGTTACAACAAATAATGAAGTAAATAAAATAATATGTTTGTATTTTTACTCTGTTTATATGTTTGTAAATACAAAATTTCAATAATAATAGACGAAAATTATTGACTGATAGTTCAGAAAATTCAAAAAGAAAGTTCATATTATTTGATGCAATCCTTTATAACTTAAGAAGTAAATATACATTTATATCTTTAAGATTAACTAATCTAAGCCTTAAAATTTAGAGTTAAAGGGTTTAGTTTTGGGATTGATGTTTATTATTAAATAAAATAAATACTAAAATTTTGAAAAAAGGTTCAAAAAGTATTTTCAAATTTCAAAAAAGGTGGTTATCGAAGGTGGTTACATGATATATTTTATTAGTCCACATGTATATTAAAATGGTGGTTATCGAAGGTGGTTACGTGATATATTTAGATCCTATTAAATTCAGAAAGTTTAGATTCAGTTATAAAATATGTTGGATTAAAAATATATCAATAGGTTCAATAGGTCATGATTTTGATTTAATAGAATAGGATTTAACAGGGTTTAAGTGAATTTTTAATAGAAATAAATATTCATATAAACTCATTTAGTTTAATAGGTTTTAAATAGGTTATTCGATTAAAATATATTTAATAAATTTGATTTGAATTAAAGTTATTGAAGATCACATTAAGCCACAGACACACACGCACACACACATATACATATATATATTAACAGAATATAAAAGAATTTTTCACATTTTCAAAAGATTGTTCAGTTTTTAAGGTGGATTAGATTTGATATGGATTCTCGGATATAACACTTTACAAACCGTTCGCGTATATAGAAATATGTCTAATATAGTATAAAATTTTGATTTTCGGGTCGATTCTGAATCAAGTTTTTTGGATACGAATATTCTAATTACGTCAGGTAACTACTAAAAAATATAATATACTGCAAATTTTAAGAATAAAGTTTAAAAATATTTCTGAAATGCATATGACACAAATGTATAGTTATGCAAGTTGACATATTTAATATATTGACTAAAAATTGTATTAAATTAATATTAAACACAGAAAAAAAATTAAAACAAAAAATATATCTACCCTTTATAAGGGCGGATCAGAATCTAGTCAATACTTTTAAATTAAGAACATGACTTATTGATATAGGTTTAATCCAAAAATTATTTTTCTATCTTATCAACTTAAAAAATAAACTACATATATTGTAACTTCTCCTCGAGATCTCTTCAGAAAACGCTCTCGTGAGAAAACCTATTTTGGTGGCCGCCGTCTCTCGCAGTCGCCGGGTCTCGTCCTTGAATCTGTGTCTTCTCCCTTTCTTCTCTTAGATCTCTTCTCCTCTTTCTTTCTAGAGTTGCTCCCATGTCCCGTGTTCTGAAGAGTGTCTGATAGAACACTTGGTATCTCAGATCTGTGGTCCTCTTGTAGTTCTGGGTGCGTAGAGTGTTTGTAGTCGGTGTTAAAGGTTTGTTCCTTTCTCCGGTCTCCATCTGCGTCTCTTAGCGAGGTAAAAGTCCAAGCCTTGGTGTCTCTGTTGTGATGCGATTTTGGGTAGTGTTGCGATTCTTTGTTAGGGGTTGAATCCGGTTAATCTGTCTTGGGTTTTAGAGTTAGTCTTGGTTGTCTTTGAGTCTGCAACGGTGTAGCAGTTACAAGGTGTTGTGAGAGCAGTTGAAGGTTTTTGGGTTTTGAGATAAAGTTAGGTTCACATCATATCTTCATCGCCCTATTTTAAAGGTATCCTCTTCTCGCTCTTTAAAATAAGTGTTCCTGGTTTTCTTTTGGTCGTCTGTTCCTCGGTGGCTTCAACTCGTGAAGCAATAAAATGAGGTTGAAGTGTGAAGGTGTCCAGATGAAGGAGCGATTGAAGATGGAATTTCTCGGGTGTTGTTTCCCCCTGGTTATGTGCTTGGGTTATGGAGTTGTGGTTTGGTTGTTGTCATCGTGAACAAGTGGTTCAGATGAGGTCTTTGTGGTCTGGTGTTGTCATCTCGAACAGGAGGTTCAGATGTGGTCTCTGCTTTTCATGACCAGCGTTGCGTGTTCTCTTACTCAGTTCGTAGTAAGATATCCGGCTAATCATAGGCAATTAAGTCTTTGTTCTGTTATCTACTGATGTTTAACTTCTGGATTTTTGAAGTAATGTAAGAGGTTAGTTGATGTTCCAGTATTTCGTACAAGAGACCCGTATGTTTGGGTTATAGCTCCCCTGTTTGGGTTTAGTTTCTAGGGATATCCATGTTTTCCGCCGGCTTTAGTGTTTCACCATGTATCTTTCTTATGGTAGTAATGGAAATTCACTGATGGAAAAAAAAATTGTAACTTCTCCTCCTCCCTTAATTCTCGGATCCACTCATTCTATTATTTAGCCAAAATGTGAATTACAAAACCATTCAACAGATTTTATTGATAAAGAATCCAACAAAATCATACTAATCTTTTAAATATTTTTTTAAATATTGTTTTCAATAAAATTACACATTAATTAATTTCTTACTTGTAATATAATATATTATAAATTAATTTTAATTAAATATTATTATAAAAATATATCCTATTTTTATAAAGTTTATAATTATATTAAAATAGAAGTGATATATGAATTAAATATGAAAAATATATTAAATAGTTAAATTGACCTTTTTTAAATCGTTTCATTTAAATAAATATTACTTATCTTGAATATGTGTTGAAATTCGTACACTATAATATTTTTATACAAAAATAAATATATTAACATAGGTTAATCATTTATATCTACAACTATATATTATTTTTATTTATTTTAAAACTCTCAAAATATATTACAAAAATATGTTAATTTCTAATCCATTAATTTAGAGTTCTATTTTTATATATTGATAACAAGTCATACTTGGACCACCTAAAGATTTAGTTGATCTGACATATTTGATTATTTAGATTAATAACAAACCAACTATAAATTTGAATTTGATGTTTAATTGTAATAAATTCTGTTGACAATGAGTCTAACAAAATCCTACTAACGCTTTAAATATTTTTATAAAATTAATACATAATTAATTTCGTAGCAAGAAAATATTATAAATCAATATTAATTAAAACGTTATTATAAAACAAGAAAACAAAAAAATCTATACTATTTTTTATACTTCTAAGTTATGTTATGTATTATATTAACATACAAGTTCTGTATGCATTAAATATGACAAAATTTATTAAATAAGTAAGTTGATCGATTTTCATTTTAAATATTTTCACTTAAATAAATTATCACTTATCATTAAAATGTGTCAAATTCGTAAACTATATAAAATTAATATATCATAAACTTTTATATCTACAACTACATATTTTCTTTTTCTTTTTTTTTTTTGAAATTCTCAACAGTATTTTGTTTAAAAATAAACAAAAACATAAAGATGTCAAAAAAACAAAAAAAAACAAAACAAAAACATAATAGTTTATAACTAATCTTTAGTTCATATACTATTTAATAATATGTCATTGTACAACTATGAAATTTTAATAATTAATTTAAAATATTAGTGAAAAAACAAATTTTAATTATAAACTTAATATTTATATTAATTATAAAAATATGTTGATAAATATGTTCAAAATCTTACCAAAAATTAAAATTATTTCTATAAAATAATGTACTTATGTAGTAGAAAAATCAAAAATCATATAATCTTCCAATTCAAAAATAGTTGTGAAATTTTTCAAATTATTTTTGACAAAATATACAATTTTACAAATAAATATTCGAGCTTTGAATGATAATATTTCAAATTTTGCAAAAAAATAGAATCATAGAGAATAAAGAATAACTTCTTGAAATGTAACACTGAAAACAAAAAAAATGCTGTAAAAATTATAGTAATCTTATATTTTGAAATCTTAATTTAATTACAGAAAAGAAATTAATATCATAACATTTAAAACATATTCTATATCAATAAAATTTACTAAAAGAATATGATAGATGCTACTATGTATATAATTTACTAAAAGAAAATGTCTATATTATTTAAACAAAAGAGTGTTACACAATATATAACACTAAAATAAAAATTATATATTTAAAACATTTATACTAACATCAAAATTTTACATGCATAAATTGAAAGATATCCGCACGAATATGTGGGTCAAAATCTAGTTGGTTGTTGAATCACCGGTAATATTTTTCGTAGTTTGTAATAGCAGCGTTAAAAAAAAATCAATAACCAAACCGGACCACAATGTAATTCGGTAATTCGAAATTATTTTTCAAAATTTCGATTAACCAAAAACCTAAATCGCAGGGTATAAAACTTCGTGAGGAAAAAGAGTATGAGGGTCAACTAACTATTTCGAAGGTGAATATGAAAAGAAAGGTCCAACTATTAATGAACCTATAAGCCCAATAGAATTATTTCTGTAAACTTTTTTGCATATAGTATATGTTTTTTTTAATGACCGTGGGGCTCCGAGGCGGTAAGTCCAGACTAATCCCCACGAGGCCTTCCATCCGGGTACGCACAGTTTATAGGCGGGAAAATGGCCAAGGCGACCCGAACCCAGGACGGGCATCCAGCTGGAGTTCCATTACCACTATACCAAGAGCTCTTGGTTGCATATAGTATATGTTTTTGGAGTATTTAATTGCAATACAAGTTACAAATAATTTATAACCATTCATAACCATATGGAAACATAACCAAGTATCTTCCTCCTTCCGTTTTAATCTCTCAGACGCTGAAGACGTTCTTATATGGGCCGGTGATGATGATGTTACACGTTACCTCCGGTGGACCTCCGTTAAAACCGTGGAAGAAGCCCAACATCACATCCTTCAAATGGCCATACCACACCCGTGGTGTACGGGAGCGGTCTTTTTCGTTCTAACAGTTGGGCTAAAGTAGTAGGATGTAAAGTGCGAAGTTTCCACCGTCAAACTTCCTGCAACTATCGAACCCTCGACTTTGGCAAGTTTTTTGGCGAACTTTTTAAGATATCCCATGAATCTCTCAAATACATACATCCATCGAAATTGCACAAAACCCCCAAGAGCTGCTTCAAGAGGTAGATGAATCATGAGATGTTCCATTACGTCAAAAAGATGGGATAAATATTTTTTCCAGATTGAAAAGCAAGACCGGAATATTTTTGGCTAACAACTCGATCCCATCCTCAGTCAATGTTCGAGTGCATAAATCTCTAAAAAATGCTCCAGTTCCTACAAATTCATCATGAAACAATAATATTATTTCCAATAAGAAAGACAATAATTTAATATGTAATTTTAAAAGTCACTTTTATTATCGTCTATAGCTTCATGGACATGTTTTGGTAATAGATCCGTCATTGCAAACGGTAGAAGCCGCTGCATGAAAACATGACAATCGTGACTCTTTATACCAGAGATTTTTTTTCCTTGTTCGATGCATCTTGAGAATTTTGACACATATTCATCTGGGAACTTTATATCAGAATTTACCCAGTCGAACAACTTTTTCTTCGCCACCCCAGACAATCTAAAATTTGGAACTGGTAATTTTCCTTCTCTTGTCACATGCAGCTCTGGTCTTGCACATAACTCTGGCAAATCCAACCTCGATTTCAAATTATCTTTACTCTTTCCCTTCACATGCAAAAGAGTGTTCATGATATTCTCAAAAACATTCTTCTCTTTGTGCATCATATCAAGGTTGTGTCTTAAGAGATGATCCTTCCAATATTGAAGTTCCCAAAAGATGCTCTTCTTATGCCAATTATGAGATGTCGTATACCCATCTGGCATGTTAGTTGGAGTGTGCCAATTTCCCCCAACTTTACATGTCTCTTGAGAAAAGTAATAATCAATCTGCTCTAACAAAGCTGTTCATGATTGCGTTACTGGGGGAGGAACAAGCACTACCTTGTTTTTCCTAAACAATTTCTTGTTCTTACGATATGTATGATGCGGCGGAAGAAACCTACGGTGACAATCAAACCAACATGACTTCCTCCCATTTTTCAGCTGAAAAGCATCTGTCTTATCCATACAATATGGACATGATAATCTTCCATGCGTGGTCCAACCCGATAACATTCCATATGCGGGGAAGTCACTAATGGTCCACATAAGCACTGCACGCATATTGAAGTTCTGTTGGTGCGTATTCCCACGTCTGCACGCCACAATGCCACAACATTTTGAGCTCATGGATAAAAGGTTGCAGGAAAACATACTCAAAAACAAAAATTCTCTTTGCATGCACATCTCCGGAGGGAGATTGTATGGCGTCATGATGACAGGCCATAAAGAGTATTTCCTTCCAAACATACCAAATGGACTAAATCAATCCGTGCATAGCCAAGATAAACGTTTCTACACTCACTCGCAAAGTCGGGATATACGGTTTGAAAGTGTTTCCACGCCTTAGCATCTGAGGGATGTGTAATCTCGCCATCTTTCACCGAATGTTGGGCATGCCATCTCATCGATGTGGCTGTCCTTTCTGAGTGATATAAACGCTTCAATCTATCTGAGATCGGTAAGTACCACATACGTTTGTACGGCACACGATTCCTTCCTGTGGTTTCTTTATATCTTGGCATTTTACAAAATCGACATTCCTTCAGTTCTTCGTCATCTTTCCAGAAAATCACGCAGTTTTCAACGCACACATCAATCATTTGAGATGGTAAACCAAGACCCGCAACTAGCCTATGAATTTCATAGAAATTATCGGCAGTAAGATTACCTTCTGGTAAATACTATTAATGAGTTGAGCCCACGAATCCATGCATTTCTCGTTTAGATTATGATCACTTTTAATTGTCAACATCCTAGATGCTAGTGATAATCTAGAAAACCCTTCTCTACATCCTTCGTAGATAGGTTCACTGGCAGCATCTAACATATTATAAAACCATTGTGCGTCTATGTTAGGTTCTTCCCTGTTACTATCAGGAATAGCAGCTTCATGCAATGCATCTGTAACCATATCGTGGTACCTATTTCCCTGTTGCTCATACCCATCCCCCGCATTATTTCCAAACATATTTTTCTCATATCCATCACCCGCATTATTTCTGAACATATTTGACTCACGAGGATCATAATAATTAGCATTATAACTTGGTAGTTCAAATCCGTGACCTGTACTACTACTCGATGCACCTTCCCCATGAAAAAATCATATGTAGTAGTTTGGTTTAAATCCTCTATTAAATAGATGCCTCTTCACAGTATCTATTTCTAAATATGGCTCGCTCTTGCATTTTCTACAGGGATAGAATATTTTACCATTTTCCCTTGCGAATGGTTGGTTAGTCGCCTGTTGTAAGAAACCCCATAGCCCAGCCTGATATTCTTTCGTCACTTCACCAGTCTCCGGATCTTTATTATTGTACATCCATTCCCGTGACACGTATATATCATGTTCGGACGCCATTTTTCTCTCAAATTCTCTTTTTTCCTTTTTTTTCTTTTTTTTCTTCTTTTTCATTTTTTTCTTATGTTCCGCTAACTACTAACAGCTGTTATATATAGACATTTAAAAAAATGCAAGGCATTTGCAAGGGAATTGTGACAAAATTTGCAACGGATCTGAGATGCCCTTCCACTTTGCAAGGGATTCGCAAGGAAGTTTTATTCCTTGCAAACTTTAGTTACACATATAGAAAATGTGTATCCAACCTATCAATTTTTTGCGATGAAATTTGCAAGGTTCAAAAATTAGTTACAGAAAAATTAAAACGTGTATCACCAACTTATCTGTTTTTGCAAGGGAATTGCAAGGAAACTATATTGTATTGCAATTCAATCGCAAATCACTAGCAAATTTTAACGATTTTGCGACAAACATTTTCGTCGCAAATTTGCAATGGTTTGCGTCTATTTGTACAGTTCCCTCGCAAAATGGTCGCACATTTGCGAGGGAATGTTTTCGTTGCAAATTTGCGAGCGTGTTGCAAGGGAATTTGATATCGTCGCAATGCACTTGCAGAACCGTTGCAAATTTGCAAGGGAATAATTCCCTCGCAAATATCCGTTGCAAATGACGTGTTTTCTTGTAGTGCGTCGTTCCATTTCTCTCCTCGCGACGGTCGTTCTATCGGTTTCGTCTCCGTCAGGCCTGAGACGGGTGATGGTAGGTGCCGAGCCAATGTTGGATACGCTGTTGCTAGAGAGTTTTGAGGATGGGGCATAGCTACGGCGGCGGTGAGGATGGCGGTGGAACAAGCTCTTGAGTTTTTTCCAGAGGTGGTGAGGCTACAAGCGGTGGTTGAGGTGGAGAATAAAGCAGCTCAGAAAGTTTTAGAGAAAGCTGGATTGAAACGGACAGTTTTCTTAAATAGTATGGCTTTTGCAAAGGAGAGATAAGATATATGTTTTTGTATAGTTTTGTTCAGGAGGAAAATGGAGAAATGGGAAAGTAAGTCTAGAATATCAGGCTCTTACCAAAATGATAGAAAAGATGTTTACGGTAACGGGTGACTAGTGATGGCGCCTTTTTCTCAATCTTCTGAGTTTTTTTTTTTATTAAAGTGGCTTCATAGGAATTTTGGATCTATCAAGTATTGTTATCTCAGCTAAAAAGTTACTATTAATAGTTAAGAATTAATGTCGGGTTGTTTGTAGCCAAGTGGTAACTGAGCTCTGCCTTCGGACTCTGGCGTTAGGGGTTCGATTTCTCCTTACCTCAGTTTGAGGATTTCGGTCCAAAGTGACCAAAAAATTGACAAAAAAAAATAGTTGAGATATAATAAGATTTGGTGATAATATTGTGGTTTTTTCTTAATCTAGGATTATTTTGAACCTATGGAAGAGTCGGGACTAATATTGTGGTTTTCGTGATTCGCTTCAAAATCTTGGATATCCAAAAAAAAAAAAAAATTAATTAAGAATCTATTTCTGGTGACTTTTTCTTTTGTCTTTCTTGTTCTTTTGCCTCCACGAAAAATCTGAAAAAACTATAATAATCTCAACATCATTAATTTGGGGGCAAAAATATTACCCAAAAACATTATAGTTCATACAATAGATAGTCAATAATTTATAATAACACCATATAAGCCAGCTAGGCCGATATGCACGCTACACGCAGAGTTCTTTGCTAAAAGTTTGTGTCACTATATTTTTAGAGAGGAAAATATAACCATAGAAAACATGAAAGTTCTACGAAACAGAATAGAACAAACGTTGATACAAAAGATCTAGTTGAAATCAGTGTAATGCTAAATGCAGTAAGGAAATATAAGAACAGTAATTTAGATGCAGCCTTATAGAACACACAAAAGGATATCGCATCCGTCAGCATAATTTGGTAAAGATGAGAGAACTTGACAGAAATTTGGTATATAATTCAGCATTTAACTTCAAATTATAATCTAGTTATAAGGTCTAGTCTATGAAGCTCTCACTTATTAATTTCTTGAAGAAGAGAGAGAGAATTAGAGAAGAAAACTAAAATTCCCAAAGTGGTAATTATGACTTGGCAAAATATTAGTAAACTAGATAGAGAACCGCACTTTGTGTGGGTAAAATTGTTAAAATAAATAATTAAATTTACTATATCTTTTTTGTTAGTAATTTCCGATGAAGGTTATATATAAGTTATACAATATGTTATGTTTAACATATAGTATGTTTATAAATACTTGTATATAACAATATTTTAGTATCAAATTGATGGATTATAAAATAGATCAGAAATTGGTTTTATCTTATGTTAACTGGACAAAAAAAAAAGGACACACAAAATGATGTGTCGGATTGTTAGAAGTTGGGCCTATCTAATGTCAAATGTCCAAACAGCACTAATTTTCTATAAACATGCGATACGTTATATGCTGTAATGTATAAAGAAAAATGTATAGTAAGACTAATGGCAATTGCTGTAACTTTTCTAGTAATTAAAAGGCTTTTAATTAAGATGGCTGAGGAGAGATGTGGATTCAGCGTCAGCCGAAATGGGAAGTTTGTAATTAAAATACTAAATCAAAGTTACACCTAAAATCTGCTTCTCTATTAATAATAAAAGGATTTGGATTCGATTCGTTATTTATTTCGATTCAAACTGAAAAATCCAAGCAACACAAATATTAATATACATTATCCATAAAAACTAAAGTAAATCACAAATATTAATATTTTTAGGAATGTATATCCGATCTGATCCGTTATATACATATATTAATATATATATATATAAATTATGTGCACAAAAAAAAGAAAAAATATATAAATTATATAATTATTATATATTATGTAAATTTACAATGATTTTATTTAAGATAATGTTTATTTTATTTACTAAAACTTTAAAACAATAACTTTTAGTTTTGTAATTTATATTATTATCAATTTTTATTTTATTGGGATTGAACCAGCTATCCAATTAAAATATTAAAAAATTGAATATCCGAACACTGAATATCCAAATAGTTATGGTTTAAATCAATTAGACAATTGATTATTTAGACAAAACATATTATATAACAAACTAGGGCCGGTTCAGGCTACGCCCGAGTTTTTCGTTGAAATTTTAATTATATATGTTGTATGTTATTTTGATATATAAATATTATAATCTATTATAAAATATAAGTAGTTAGAGAATTACATACTTATTTTTAAATGTTTTTTTGTCTTTCGAATTTCAAAAAATTTAATATCCAAATTTTGTATGTCATAGATTATCAGTATGTGTTTTGCGTAGAATTGTTGTGTATTGTGGCTCGTCTCTACTTTTGTTTCTTTATTTTTTGTGTGTTATTATTTTATTTTCAAATTTATTTTTGTAAAATATTATTTGGTTATTTAGTACTCATTGTTCAGTGTTTGAATATTCTTTTGATAATTATTCAAAATTTGATCTTCTTTACCTAAAATGGAAATAAAATTTATGTGTAAATCTTTTTTTCCTTAGGTTTGATGAAACATAAAGAAAAACAATATGATAATAGATTTTTCATCTTTCCAAACTTATAGATTTCTTTATTTATTTAGAATATGTTTAAGTATTTTGGAACTTTTACTTAACTATTAATTCTTTCTTAAACTTTTCATTAAACACAGGAAAAAAAATTTCATTAAGCTCAAGTTATATTACATAACATAATTAAATTTTAATTACTCTATTTTTATATAGTATTAGTTCTTGGTTTTTAAATTATTTTCATTATGTATTAGTTGTTAATTATTTTTATATAATTTTGTATTCTAAGTTAACCTTAAATTGGTAGTAAAAAGAGAACCAAAAATCTCTCAGATTCAATATTTTTATTTTTGTTGGTATAAATCTAATGAAATGTATAAAGATTAATAGTATAAATTGATTTATGCTCTTTCTCATGAATTTTAATTATTATAATTGTAAATTTATTGTTTTAATTATATTACATATTTTCACTAAATGATTATTGTTTTATTATAATTATAAATTTATATTTTTAATAATGTTATATTTTTTAATTACATGATTATTTTTAACAAAAAGATTAATATCATTTTTTTGGTTTCATTAAAAATAAAAATATTAAATAGAATGTTATATAAGTGACAAATTGTTTGAAGGTTTCAGTGGTTGTATTTAGGGTTCACTTCATGTTTGTTTGGGACATGTTATACGAATCAGTGTGATATAGTTGTGTATTATTATAAGTTCTATTCTCAAGCCAATGGTATTATGTGCTAATTTTTCTCTACCTTATTCTTAAAACTGTCAATCAAGTGGAAAGATATTTACTCTCATTTACTTTTTTTTTTTATTACTGTTTCAAAAGAGAAGAACGCAAACTCATCGTTGTGTTAGATATAGTGAACGTAACAATATTTTCTCATTTTCCTTCTCTTTTCCATTTTTTCTGATTCTATTTGATGAGTAAAAACTATGAGACCTTTGTTAATATTAAACATTAATTTTTTTTGTTCAAGAATAATTTTGCATGTTATGTGTCATTTTCTTTTTATTCTATTTAGTGACATGGTATTACCACGAGGAAAAAACTTAACTTTATATAATAAGATATCCTTCTGATCAAAACTTGTGTCAGTTTCATTATTATGTTTCATCTTTCCTCACCAATGTTGTACATGTAGACCATATACAATCTGTTTAAATCAATAAAATCTACACTATTATTCGCAAAGTGATTTCTAGCAACGGAGCTTTCACGTTAAAACTTAGAGTGGTTAATATCGATTATACCCTTAATGAAAATAATATATAAATCAGCAAAAAATAAAAACGAATTTAATACTTATATGTTTAGATAAATGATTTAAATTAATAATAATGATAAGAATTATCCCTAATCTAAATATATATTTAAAAATAAAATTAAAAAGATAATTCTTAGATATTGTGTTGTTATTCGGAAAATATATTTTTAATAAAAAATTCAAAAACAAACACATAAATAAATATTCATAAAGTAAAATTTTTAATTTTATATAATTAAAAAATTATAATACGTAATTATTTTCAAATTAAAATAATATAATAATATAATATAATGATATATATTCGTAAAGTTATTTTTCACCTCTTAACTCACAGGTTAAATTAAATTTATGTTTATATTTTATATAGTTAAACCTTAAACATGAATTAATCATATAAAATAAAAAATCATTCAAAAAGAAAGAAAATACGTGTTTGACAAAACTATATTCAAATATATTGTATTATTATCCAAAAATATGTTTATCGATTCAATTTTTCAAATTGAAAGATAGATTTCTATATTTTTTATCAATTAAGAAGAAATGAAATAGACATTAGATTTTTCAAAATTTTAAATGAAAACATAGATTCGTTTTTAATTTATGGATAACTTTATCAATGTAAAAAAGTTTAATGTTATAGGTCGAATTATTTGGATGAAAATAATCATTTTATTTGATGATTTTTTAAATTGACTTAAATATAATTAAGTCTGCATGTCCGCATTTAAGTGATTTTTCGCAATAGAGCCCTCACGTTAAAAGTTATACTGGTTAATATCATTTATACCCTTAATGAATAAAATATATAAATTACATACAAAATAAAAACGAATTTAATTATTTTAATTAGATAAGTAATTAAAACTAATAATAATCATAAGAATTATCAAAAATCTAAATAATATGTATTTAAATAAGATAATTCCTATATATATTGTGTTGTTATCTACACATATATTTTAATAAAAAATAGAAAATACATAACTAAATATTAATCAAGTAAACTTTTTAATTTTATATAATTGAAATTATTATTTGATTTTAAGATTTATTTTTAATAGTGAACATAATATACAAAGAAATATATGTAAGAATGTTTAAATATAAATATGAATATTATTGGTTTTAAAAAAAAAAAAATTTATCATTAT